GGTTTTATGCGGGTGGTATGCGGCTGCTATGCTGGTCGTATGCGGGTGGTATGCGGGTGGTATGCGGGTGGTATGCGGGTGGTATGCGGGTGGTATGCGGGTGGTATGCGGGTGGTATGCGGGTGGTATGCGGGTTTTATGCGGGTCGTATGCGGGTTGTATGCGGCTGCTATGCTGGTGGTATGCGCCTGCTATGCGGCGACCTCCGGCGGCCGTCGCCTGGGGTCGTCGACAGCGGTCGCCGGGCTGCTATGCTGGTGGTATGCGCCTGCTATGCTGGTCTTATGCGCCTGCTATGCGTCTGCTATGCGCCTACTATGCGTCTACTATGCGTCTACTATGCGTCTACTATGCGTCTACTATGCGTCTACTATGCGCCTGCTATGCGTCTACTATGCGCCTGCTATGCGCCTGCTATGCGGGTGGTATGCGGCTGCTATGCGTCCGCTATGCGTCCGCTATGCGTCCGCTATGCGGCTGCTATGCGGCTGCTATGCCGGTGTATGCCCGGCTGGTGTATGCCTGGTGGTCGGCCCCCTCTGCGCCGCGCGCGGCCGCCGCCGCCCGCGGCCGCGCGCGCGCCGCACCCGTCCGCCGACCGACGACACGTCGTACAGAAGAACGCAAACGCCAAGGGTAGATTATGAACGCAGTGTCTTCATACGAGTGAGCCCCCGAAAAGTCCACGCAACAAACGCAGAATCACAAAGGCCGGCCGGGCACTTTACGACTCAGCGGACGACCTCGCCGTCGTGCCAGTAGTCCCAGTCGTCGTCCCACTCGGGCCAGCCCGGGTGCTTCGCCTGGGCGCGCTTCGCGTCGCGCTTGAGCTTCTCCCGCGCGCCCTCCTCCGCGAGGCGCCTCGCCTCCGGCGCGAACTCGGGCGCGTCGGGCCGGTGGCGGCGGATGACGCCGACGGCCTGGCGCGCCTCGTTGTGGCCGCGGTAGGCCGCGCGGAGGAACCAGCGGAGCGCCTTGTCCTCGTCCTCGGGGACGCCGAGGCCCTGGAGGTGGCACGCGCCCGCGGTGAACTCCGCCTTGGCGTACTTCTGGTCCGCGGCCAGCTCGAGGAAGATGACGGCCTCCTGGAGCTCGTCCTTCTCCAGCAGCGCGACGGCGAGGCAGTACTGGCAGTGCGCGTCGCCGCGCTCCGCGCCGAGGCGCAGGAGGTCGACGCCCTTCTGGCGGTCGCGGCGCTGCTGCGCGGGGCCGTCGAGCCTCTCGTCCTTGGGCGTGCCGCGCGAATTCACGTAGGCGAGGCCCAGGT